ATTCAGTTAGTGTTAGCTAAAGTGTGGGACATACATACCCCCACTGTTAGGACGTGAGATGACTGTAAGTAGACCTGACATTAGAAGGGATTGACCTGTGTCAGGAGGATCAGTTATCCCTTCTCAGTGGTCATTCATTCCTTCTCATTGGAACAAGAAGAAAGTCTCTACCTTTAACACCTCTCCAGCACTTTCCAGTCTCCTTTTATAACAAAGACAAACAGCAATGCTTTGTTTTCATTGTACTTTTATTTTAAAGACTACCTTCTGTTTATGGCATAGTGTCCTCTAGCGATAAAAAGAAGTTCCTTTTCAAATGTACTTATTTAGGTTAAAAAGAGAAGGGGTTGTTATGTAAAGGTCAAGAACAGGCAAAATTTATCTAGATGCTAGGGTCAGAATGATAGTTACCTTTAAGGGGGTACTAACTAGGAGAGGGCACAAGGGAACCTTCCAAGGTGCTAGGAGTGTGAATATTCTGTGTATCTACCTGGGCAATGGTTATAAGGGTGTAAAAGTTTGAGCTTAAAATTGAACTTAAGGGCTTCCCTGGTGGCTCAGTGGTTGAGAGTCCGCCTGCTGATGCAGGGGACACGGGTTCGTGCCCCAGCCCGGGAAGATCCCACATGCCGTGGAGCGGCTGGGCCCGTGAGCCATGGCCGCTGAGCCTGCGCGTCTGGAGCCTGTGCTCCGCAACGGGAGACGCCACAACACTGAGAGGCCCGCGTACCGCAAAAAAAAAAAAAAAAAAAAATTGAACTTAAAATTATACAAAAAGAAAGAAGAGTCAGTTTGAAGGTAAATATCATGGAAATAGTAATTCATGTGGAATATCAATATGGCAGAATACATGCAGAGGGGTAGTATGAATGGTTGAAGTTCAGAGAGTGATGGACTGGACAACCTTGAAAGTTCCTTCTGGCTTATATGTTCTGAGACTGTGAGTGCCTTGGAAGTTCCAAGGTTGCCCAGCAAGCTGATGGCAGACGCTCTCAGAGCTAGGGCCACTCCCCGGGCAGCGGGCATTTCCCGTGGGCAAGCAGTGGGGCTGTAGGTCCCATCGGAAGAGCTCTTCTTCCCTGCCCCCACCTCTTGCTGCTGCCTAGCCCTGGCTGCAGCTCAGTCCCAGCTTCCTTTCTCTCTGCACGCTGGCCCGAGCCTCAGCTGCATCTATCATCTGCCTCAAGCTCATTAAAATTATTTCTTTTTTAGTTGCAAATGGGCTGTTTATGATGATCATTATTTGAATGGTCTGCGGCGGGCTCCGGGCTGTCTGTCTGCTGCTGCTGGCCAGTTAATCAGATGAGTCTTCTCCCTGCCTGGGCCTGGCCCAAAGTCTGGGGCTGTGTTAATCATGGCCCCCCTAGGGCTGGGGGCTGGAGGCCAGGTGGGAGAGGATCCCAAGTTCTGCTTGATCATCAAAGAGGCCCTGCTAGCTGTGTATGTGCATGGGGCTTCAGACACTTATTTCTAAAACTCAGCTTCAGACTGGTGCTGGTTTATGTTTATGAGAGTTTTTTATATTCCTTCAAAATAAATACAGTGCTGTGAGCTTTTTTATTTTAAATATGTTTATTTTAAAAGACATGTCAATTCTGTCGTTGGCTGTCTTGCTCTGTTAATGTTCAAATAGCCTGTCTTTTAGGGTGGGAGGGAGTGGTTTTTAATGTCTTTGCCTGATAGAGTAAAACTTGTCAGTACTCTGTCATCCTTTTATTGGTGGGGCGGGGGGTGTGAGATTTTTACTGACCTGTGAAATCCAGAACTCTTAGAATCACTGATCTAGTGGGGTGTTCTTTGAGCTCTCAGCTTATCTAAATTAGTATCAGCCAACATTTCTTGAACACTTAGTACTGTGCTTAATGCTTTACACATTTATAACATTTAAAACAAGCTCCCTGAACATCCCCCAGCTAGTGGGGAAGTGGAGCAGAAACCCTGTGATGAGCAGGGCATTACAATTTTGCCTTTATAATCCACCAAGGAGATAATTCACAGCTGAATTATTAGGACTGTAATTTGTTTCTTAGTCCCTGCTTGAATTACCTTACAAACATATTAATGTGCTCGTCACATGAGATGATGTGTATGAGGAGCTTAGCATGGTGCCTGGTACGTGTAAGCACCCAATACATGGTAGTTATGATTATTTACTATTATTGTTGTTGACGTGTTAGTGTACTAACCATAGAAATGTGGCAAGAATTCAGAGTTGAAGGATGAGCATAGATGTAAGGCAGAGGTAAGAAGAGCATGGACATCAGTCATGATATCCGTCGTCTGCTCCTCTAGGGATGAACAGGAAAGACGGCAAGAGCTGGGCTTCTGTGGGGCTGGGGTTGGGAGCCTGCTGATGTTCCCCATCTGGTCTCACCTCTGCTCTGTCTACAGTGTGGATGCAGCAGACAGATTTGTACCCACCAGCAGCCTGAGAGGTTAGGGTGGAGGGAGCCAGTGCAGTCGCATGGCATCGTTGTCTGGTACAGCACATCAGACAGTTAGAGTTAACCTGCTCTGAGATTTCCTTTTGGAACTTGGGTTTGATGTTTTAAATAAGGAGTCGGGCTTCCCTGGTGGCGCAGTGGTTGAGAGTCTGCCTGCCGATGCAGGGGACACGGGTTCGTGCCCCCGTCCAGGAAGATCCCACATGCCGCGGAGTGGCTGGGCCCGTGAGCCATGGCTGCTGAGCCTGCGCGTCCGGAGCCTGTGCTCCGCAACGGGAGAGGCCACAACAGTGAGAGGCCCGCGTACCGCAGTCAATCAATCAATCAATAGATAGTCAAAGTTCAGCCCCCACCAGGTTGCTGGGATGCTGGGAGAGGCAGTATCCCAGAGATAAGAACATTGTGTCAGATATATGATCATTCAAAACCGTGTGATGTTAACGCAAGTCCCAGTTCTGTTTGTCCTGTAGCCGTGTAAAAATCACCTCTTTATCTTCAAGACGGATGAGAAAAACTAAGAAAAACTGTGAGCACTCTGCCACAACTCAAATTGACCATGACACTCCAGTTACTTCTCTCCTGCCAAGTGAGGGTCTGTCCACCTGGCTTCCCCACATAGTTGGTTTTTGTCTGCCTTTGGTCAGTCCCATTGCTGCTACCACAGATCTCTCCCTAGTCACTTGATATTTTGGTCATGGTCAATTGTGGTTTCTTTATTGGAAACTACAATTATTTTTAAATGATGATAAACCAGAAGTCTCCTTATTTTCTCTGTCACCTTGGCAGACTGTCAGAAATTGTTTCTGTTTCTCTCTCTTGTCTCCCATGACACCTTGTTCCTTACCTGGCTCAAAAATTCAATGGGACGTTTGGACTGGAAGCCCCTGCACCTTGGAGTTGGTGTACCCAGTGCTGTGGCATAGAATTGATATCAGCACCTTGGAGAGCACCACATTTCCAAGTCTCTTGCCCCTCTATTTTAATGGCTACTTTCTTGCCTCGATTTTCCTCCCTTCTAGTCTTATGATTCTCCAAAGAGGTTAGACATTTCTCCAGAAATAGAAATTCCTTCCCTGATTCTCCCAAGGGCTCCATAGGCAGAGACACTTACCCTGGGTTTGGAGTATGCGGTCCAGCCTTCGATGGGCGTGAGGTTTATGGTGCTACGGTGAACTGCTGTTGAGCAGATTTACCGACTCTCAGACATGATATAAGACGATTACCATGCATTTCGTCTCTTAGAGGGAAAAGGATTTGCAGCGGGTTAATAGTACTTTTATTTCATTATCTAATAGTAAAAGTGTTTCATTGTGTGTGCAAGATGAATGCGCATTAGCGATGACAAATGAGGTCTTTCAGCACGGTGCTGGGCCTCATCATACATATGTTAGATTAAAGAGTTCACCCTAGAAATACACTCTTGCATCTGCTTGTGTGTTTTTAATAAATCTGATTGCAGAAATTTATTGCATCACTGGATTTAGGAAATTATGGGGCTTGATTGCTGCAGATATAATCGGGTGATATATACAGAAATGCTCCTCTAGTTATCGTCCAGAAAAAAAGCCCATCTCGGGATGGTGCAAGAAAGCAGCAGACCACATAAACAGAGCATTTCTTGAATTATGCAAATGAAATCCATGACAACTCATGGTGAATTATTCTCCCCTCGTGAAACCGCCACTGTTAAAGTGAAGAAAGCTGCGAGAGGGGTGATCAAATATACATGTACAACCAGCAGACATTGTCTGTCATGTGTGAGCTGGAGCGTCCCCCACTTCCATCTCTCACTCTCTTTTTTTCCCCTCCTTGGTTCGTCCTGTAAAAACCTGGTCTGAAACCTTCATTGCACATAAGCAGGCAAGGCTGCTTCCAATCCTTTTCTTCTGAATCCAGGCATCTTCAATGAAATATTTCTTATACTTGAAGTGAACCTTAGGTAATTTACTGCAGGATACACAAAAGGTCATCTTGCTTCTTATTGGCACCTTCATTTTTCCAAAATCTACAGAAATTAAAAAGCCATCTATATCTTAAAAGGCGTATTTATGAACCCTTAAGTGTAAGTCATAGTTGGAACAGTTCCCACCTCTGATATATGAAAGCTGTCGACAGCACTTTCTTACACTATAATATGCCCATACAATATGCCGCACTTTACTATTTTGACACCGTTTGGAGATGTTTTCTACAGTTACTGACAAGCTTATGCCATCACTCCCTTGGAAATTTAAGAGGTGGGGCAGAGGCGTAGGGGAGAAATGAAAAAAAAACAGCTCCACCCAACTTTATGGGAGATTATTGATCTGGCCTGACTTCTGACAAGCAAAAAAAGCTGTCCTGGATTTTTTTCGGTTGCATCCCCAGTTTCGTAAATTATTCATTTGTGCCAGGAGTCAATATCCTGTCTTTTCTCAGCTTTTTTGTAAGTTAAGGAAACTTGTTTGGAATGCTGTTTTGTACGATGATTAAAAAGGAAAAGGAGGAAAAAAATCTTTTTCTTTTCTCTCTCCCTCTCTCTCTCTTTTTTTTTTTTTTTTTTTTTTATTGTTCCAGAAGGAGCTTAATTCCGTCGCTTCCGAGCTGTCTGCACGGCAGGAGGAGAGTGAACATTCTCATAAACATTTAATTGAACTCCGCCGGGAATTTAAGAAAAATGTACCTGAGGTACAGTATAGTTGCTATTATAGAATTAACTCAGTAGGAATGCAGATTTTTCTCTGTTCAAACTGTATTTTGAAAACTATAGACATAAGTGACTAACAAGAAAAGAAGCTAATTAGCCACGAAGAAAAATTACAGCCCTCAACCTTGCCGTGTTTCTCAGTGTAGCGGTGCTCACTGGTGCTGTCTAGAATAAAAGCAGGACGCTTCTCCATGGAAGTCATTGTTTTTGAGGGCTCTATACCACATCCATTTTCCCCTCACATTAATGTCTAAGTCAAATGCTTGGCCTTGACGGCAAAGACAATTTGTCTAGAGTTCCTGATTTTATTTTCCTTTCCCATTGGCGTCCGGGAGATGATGGCTGTAGACTGTCTCACCCTCTCTGGTCCTTCCCTTGATCTCCATGTCTGAAACTGTCTCCCCCACCTGCCCATAAACGTGCCTCATTCTCCCCCTTCACCTCCTCCTTTGCAACTCCAGCCACCAGCGTTGTCCTTCCCAGCTGCCATGAGGGTGGTCCAGGTAATGGCCAGCCCCTGCAATGTAAGAGTCCCCCAGGGGAAGAGATGAGAATGGACACGTTTCTTTCTTCACAAGGGTGAATGTGTGAATTTTTTTTCCTCCTCTGTCAGGCCCCCTGTTGCTTCTCAAATTTTTTTTTTTTTTAGTGATGGAAATAAACACAAATAGGAAAAAGAAAACCTCCTGACTCCATACAATGTTGGCAGGGATGTGACACATCAGAGCCATGACAGGAAACAGATACCCCGCCCATTCCCAAAGCCTGCTGTGCTTCTCTGTGCTCAGCAGAGGGTTGAGCTCTCTGTCCCAGGCTGCTCAGGTGGCCTGGATCTTGGAGGAGGGCCAGACAGGGTCTGCCATTCCAGAGGTATCAGACCTGGACATGTTGATTCCACTCTGCCTGTTGGAATCACCTAGGGGTCCTGTTGCCATCTTACTGATGGAGACCATGGAAGGATGGAGAAGAAGCAAGCCCACCCAGGAATCAGGCCACATAAGTGCAGAGGGGTCAGTCTCTTAGCTGTGAAGTCCTCCTCACACCAGTCATAAATATCTTTGGTTCTTCAAGGCAAGAGTGGGAAGTAGGATCTAGTTAGAACTTGTCCATGGAGCAAGTCTGGGAGGAATCAGGTTTGGGAGCTGAGAGAGAGTGCACTTGTAGAAGGGGCGGGAGTCTCAGATCTGAGCGTGTCTCCCATGTTATGGCTTTAGAAAGGCCAAGTTACATCCTGGGTTTGACTGGGAGCTAAGAAAGCATAGGGAGATTCTGAGCATCCTTCCCTTCCCTTTTAGAACAGAGAACAGCTTGGTCTTTAAACCAGTTTTTCTGCCCAGAAGGAGAGAACCAGAAGCTTTGCCTCTGACTCTCCCATCTCTGGGAAGCAGAGATGAAACGGCCACAGATCTTCACAGCCCACCATTTTGTCCTCCTTCCCCCAGGCGACGTGGGAGCCCCCAGGTGATGAGGGAAATCCAGGCCAGGTTTTAAGCCTCTGAGTTCGGCTTACATAATTTTAATACTGCATAATTATGCAATTATGTAATTAGAAGGAATAAGTTTCCATTCCTATTATAGTCGCGCCTCTGAAAATTCTCATTTTTGGAACTAGCCTCTCCTGATGGGGGAGAGTCATGCCAAGACTTTATTTAAGGACATCATCTGGCTGGTGCCCAGCTCACCTCCTGCTGATGCCTTTGCTCAGTTTCCCCCAGGAGTTAAGCAGACAGGGCAGTGGGCTTCTAGAAATGGCTGGCATTGGCCCAAAATCCCACCCACCCCGCCGTGGGTCTCAGATTTGAATCCCCTAAATTCACTTGAGTGTGGGGTTGTGAACAGAGCCTGTCTGGGGAGTCTGTTGACCTGCATTGAAATCCCAACTGTGCCACTCACTTGCTTTGAGACCTTGAACAAGGCAGCCCCTCTCGGGGCCTCTGTGTCCCTTTCTGTAAATTCAGGGGACTGGAGATGGTTTTTGAGCCCCTTCCAACACCAACATTTCCTGAACCCAGACCAGAGGTTTCCTGTTGATGTGTTTTATTTGGTCTGTAAAGGTCTTTCAAATTTTACAGTAAGTTGTCAATGTTTAGCATCTCTGATTTCACCCCAAAGCTTGGATTTCCGATATCTTTTGAGACTGTTTGGTAGATCTGGCCACGGGGATGCTCCATGCCCAGTGGCAGAAACAGCCGAGCAGCTGCCGCTCACGTTACCAAGATGCTGTGCTCCCCTGAGATTTGCCATGGGACAGCCTGTCTCCCTCCTGTCCACTTCCTCCAGCCTCTGTGGGCATTTGAGTTTACAACCCACAATCTAGGTTTTCTTAAGTTTCGTTTTCTGCGCTCAGCCCGTGCACTCACGGTTCCTTATGATCAAATAAATCCACTAGGTTCACACGCACTCCCTACGTCCCTCCTGAAGATCCCCTGCATACATCAGTATATCAGTGGGTCTGAGAAGCCCTGGGGGCCACAAATCAGTGAGGAAAGCATAGCCAGGACCCAGAAGAAGGATTTTTTCCAGGGCCAGGAGCAACACAATCCTATTTCATAGTTAAGGGATTTTATTCTTCAGCTGAAATATGTATTCTTCAGCTCATCTCTTCCTTTCCTGTTTCTGTCTGCTACCCCCTCCCTCTCCATTCTCTCCAGCTCCCCTCAGCTCCTCCTCCCAAGGGGGTCTCTTGTGGGCCATAGAAGCCAGTGGTTAGGGGAGTCACCAGTGGGTCTCAGAGGAAACTGGAGCATGTATGGTTGGGATCTTGGTACCCTCGGTTCTAATCCCTCTTGCACACTGGAGAGAACTCATGGGAGTCCACCAGGGATGCCCTTGTGGCTGGGAACCTCAAGGTCACTTGAGAAAGGCATAAAATTAGGGTCCAGAAAGAGGAGGCTGCCTTCTGAAGACAGCCCAATGGCATAGAGTTGATCAAACATTTACAGAGCCCTTCTTCTGAGCTGGGTGCCATGGCAGGTGACCCCACTAAGCCCCCAGAAACCCCACCTTCTGGTGAGGAAGGAGCGACCGTGCAGAGTGGTGTTGCTAAAATGCCAAATGCAGTCTTTGCTGGAAGGGGCAGCTGGGTGGGGAAGCAGAAATGGCACCCTAGGGAGACATCTCCCAAGCAACCTAAAGGACAGAGGTTTTCATGTAGGAGCTTTGGTGACATGGCCCTGGGTGTGGAGCCTTTCCAGCCCCTGCTCCAAAAAATGTCCCAGGATGGACCACCAGTCCCGCAAGGTACTTTGCATAAATGAGCATTCCATGATCAAATCCATTTGGGAAATGCTACTTCCTCTCTCCCTCTTCCAGAAATTCTCATTGTGCATTATGTAAAAGGCTCCAAAAAGTCCTGCAGGGAGGAAACTTGATGTTGTGCTTGATGCGTCCTAGTCGGATCTGGCTTGGCACCGTGGTGTGTGTTTGTGTCTGTCTGTAGGTGTATATATGAGGAACCGTTATGAAATCTCATGGAGTGCAGGTCCCACGGGACACGCTTGGGAAATACTGATTTGGGGGACAGCAATGAGCTGCAAACAGGGGCCATGGGGGTATCCCACTTGGCACCACGGTGAACTCTTCGCTGATCTCTTTTACAGGAAATCAGAGAGATGGTGGCTCCTGTATTAAAAAGCTTCCAAGCTGAGGTAAGACCCAAGGCCTGTGGCACGTCACAAAAATACTTCCCAGTTCCCTCTCCTATCCCACCTGGAGTTGCCAGAGGATGCCAGCAGCAGAGAAACTTCTCTACCCCCATTGCAAACTGCCCCATGCCCTCCTGATCAGCCATGGTATCATGATAAGAATGGGCTCTCTGTTCTGTTTGATGGGATTTCTGCCTGCTCTGAAATCCTCTCTACCACCCATCCTCTGAGGATATAAAATCTACACTTTTCACATCCTTTCCTGCCAACCCATCAGACCCTAGTTCCTTTGGCAGCAGCTGAGCTGCCCTCAGCCAGTTGTTTCTCTTGCCGTCCTGGAGCCCTGGGATGGAGCTGAACCTCCTCTGTTTCTCCTCTTTGCTTGACTTTGTGACCAGGATTCTGAGAATGTCCACTTGTCTGGCTGGCGCAGGAGGTAAGCTAGGAAAAGAATGGAATTACACTGAGTCAGGAGAGTGGAAGGGAGGGCCATTTCTCCAATGTTCTGTCTTCAGGGGGCTCTTCTCCGTCTTCCCCTGTATTCAGGCAGAACCCTGGAAGGATAGGCCCTTCTCAGAGCTCGCCAGTGGAGATGCATTTTAAGTCTGTCGTCTGCCAAGTGCCACATTACTTTAAATCTGTCTCTTCGGAACTGCGTAAGCGCATAAGGCAATATTAAAGTAAACAATAACTGGATTTACACAAATGTCGCTGATTTCCATATTTTTCATCCTTTCATTTTATTACTGAGTTGACTGATGCGCTTATTTATTTATAGGGCCATCCGGTATTGATTCATTTGGTTGTAAGGTGCCTGAGCTGGAAGGGGGTAGAAAAAAACCAGAAAGAAGACCAATAATGTTGGGAATGTGTCATCATGGCTTTTATGTTTTTAAAAAAAGGCCCCCATCTGCCGCCAGCTCATGGTCCCCTGAGAAATACTCAGCACACAAGCCCTCTCAGGCAGCTGATCCCTCTGTCCAGCCCAAAGACAGGCAGTGAGTGTCTTGTGTAGAGCATCACTTTCTCAGCCATTCCCTTGCTTGGGTTGGTGTGGCAGAGCTTCTCTTAGCTACTTAGACCCTCAGTTTCTCTATATGTTAAAGTGGAATAAAGGCACTGCAGATCTTTTCATGTTCTTTTGAGGATTAACTGAAATATAATGAAAGGAAAGAGTTTAATGTAATTCCCGGTACATGGAGAGCTGCTAGGGAGTGAAGAGCACAGACTCTGGAGTCAACCTGGATTTGAATCCTGCCTCTGCCAGTTACTAGCTATTTGACCTTAGGCAAGTTACTTGACCTCTCTCTGCCTCTGTGTCATACTCTATAAAATTGGATAATAATTATACCTACTTCATAGGGTTGTGATTGAGGAAGAACAAAGTCAATACTCATGGAGTGCTTAGGACATTACCTTGCATATTAGAAGTCTTATTATTTTATTGTTCCTATTATCAGTCACCTTCAACACAGGTTTATTTGGCCTCCACTATGCCTGGGTTGGAATCTGCCTCTTTCCTCACTAGGTGTTCAAGGATTTTTATCCAAAAGAAGGGGGTTTTCTATCCCTATAGGAAGCAGGCATGACTTATGCCATCTTTCCAATAGGAGAAAGAGTTAAACATTAGATTTCGGCAGTGATCCAGGGAAGACCCAAGTGCAGCATGGTGGAAAGCACATGTGAATCAGACTCGTATGGGCCTGGCTTGAATTTCAGCCCTGCTGCTTATACGAGCTGTGTGACCTGGGAGAAGTTCCTCCACCTCTCGGAGCTGCAGCTTTCCTCCTCTCGTAAGTGAGGCTAACAGTAAGGATTCTAAGAACTAAGCAGGGTGGAGGCAGTCGACATGGTGTCTGGCACACAGTTGGTGCTCAGTAAGTGCAGGAGGAGAGAGAGAGTCTTAGTGGGGCCAAAATAGGCAAAGGTGAATTTTCATTTCCAAACCCATGTGGCATGTTGAATACACACCATTTTAATAGCCGGGGATCTTCAAGGAACTTCGTTAATTTTTTTAAGAGGGTTTTCCGTCGTCCCTTTAATGTACCAAAAAGACTACATTTGTCTGGAGTTTTATTCCCGAAACCCCTGCTTTCTTCATGATCTATTGACTAATCCATTGCGGCCGCCATGTCCCTCCCAGCGCCTCAGGGGAGAAACGCCGGCAAAGAAAGGTGTTAATAAAAAGCATCTCCTTCGTCCAGAACAAACTGCACACACATAGGCCGTTTATAATCCAAATTTGATTTTCATTTTAATTTTTTTAATGAGGGTTCATCCTTTATGCCGCTTCCCTCTTGCCAGCCACCAGGCTCTAGGCTCAGAGCTGAGGATTCCCAAGTGGGCATTAATCACCTCCCAGGAATATTCCCTGAGGCAAACACCTTCCAGAGTCATATAAACTAACCCATAAAACGCCAAGGCTGAATATCGTGCCTGTCATTCCTTCTTCCCCAGTGTGGGCCTCTTGTTGAAATATAACATGTTCAAGTTCATTCCTTAATTTCACTCCACCAGCCCTGGTGAATACAGCATACAAGCATCCTTTTATCTTTTCATACTGTGTATGTGTGAGGGTCTTTTTTCCTTTTTCTTTCTTTCTTTCTTTCTTTCTTTCTTTCTTTCCTTCCTTCCTTCCTTCCTTCTTCCTTCTTTCTTTCTTTCTTTCTTTCTTTTTTTTTCTTTTCTTTTCTTTTCTTTTCTTTTCTTTTCTTTTCTTTTTCATGCTGGTGGGAGGAGGGCGGAGAGGAAGTGAATTTGCCCTGCTGTGAATCAAGGAAGCTTTTCCTCTCCGCCTTGATTGCTTAAAGGACAGTCTTGATTCCCCCTGCTCAGGGAAACAAAGACAGCCAGAGAAGGTGGCTTAATGGAGACAGCTTGAAATGGCCAAAGTTTGAATATCCTTGCGCGCAGAGAAAAGAGCAAGACGAAAGCCCTGCTAATTACAAAAGTTGCTTTATGAAAGATAATTCAAAGCAATAATTTAGCAAACATAATCAAGTCGCACAGATGGGGTTGTTGATGGATGGATTGCAACATGCAATTAGCAGTTCTCGTAGTTACATATCATTAACCCTCCAAGCACAGAAATTATTTTCTCATTATTAGTTGAAAAGGTAAAATTAAGCTGACTAGACAGTAAAGGAACAAACTACAATTAATTACCTTCATTTATTACAGTCATTATTTTAAACTTATTTTTACTTGGAGAGAGAGACGAAAACATCTAAATTAAAAGTTTTCTTATGCTAAATCAGAGGTGAAACTTTTCTAAGGAGCATGTGCAGTGGCCCAGCCAGAAGATGGCAAGGCCACTGCTGGGAAATTTTTTTTCCCTGCTTCCTTCCTCTTCCACCTTGAAGGGGATATGGCCTGCATGATGGAAAACCCTTTCCGTTGAGTTGGAACAGACACGTTCATCTGGGCCTGATTGAAACAGAGCAGTTTGGGAACCAAGGAGGCTGAAGTGTCCTCTGACCCCCAGGGGAGGCGGGAGAGTGTGGAGGTCAGATATCCAGGGTCTGTGTCCCACCCTGACACTGCTTATATGACTTTGGCAAGTGACTTCATGTCTCTGAGCCACTGTTTCCTCATCTGTAAATAGGGACAGCTCATCGGATTGCAAGAGGTTCAGTGAGATTCTCTGTTGATTGGCCAGCGAGTTATTTGTTCTCATTGTGGTGGGTGTGTTTGGTTCGGGCCTGAGAATGTTCTCTCCCTCTCCTCTTAGGATCAGAGGGGAGCTCGTGTGGCGTGACCACCTTTTAGGAGCTTAGAGACGGGACTAAGATGCCATCTAGGGCTTCCCTGGTGGCACAGTGGTTGAGAGTCCACCTGCCGACGCAGGGGACACGGGTTCGTGCCCCCGTCCGGGAAGATCCCACATGACGCGGAGCAGCTGGGCCCGTGAGCCATGGCCGCTGAACCTGCGCGTCCGGAGCCTGTGCTCTGCAACAGGAGAGGCCACAACAGTGAGAGGCCCGTGTACTGCAAAAAAAAAAAAAAAAAGATGCCATTTACCAGGAGATAGATCAGATCATCGGTTGAGTCCATGAAGTCATTTATTCACTCAACAAACATTTACTGAGTACCCAGAACCTGAAGTCATCATCGGCTTCCCCCACCATCTGTCCCAGCCCCAGACACTGAGGACTGCCTGCTTCTCCCTCACAGGCAGTCGTGGGTGGGGAAGGGGGTTCTAACCCAGGACAAGATCCCCAGGGGTTTATAGTCTCCATTCCTGAAGCTGAGCTGCCTGAGAAGGGCATGGGGGGCATCCTCACAGCTCAGATCACCTGAGACGGGCTCGGCCCTCCCTGCCCTGAGCCCCCGCCCAGCTCTGCATGCCGTGTCCTAATTTGGTCCCTGTGCTCCCCTCCTGTTCCGCATCTGCCCACAGGACTCTTGCCCTTCCCTTTGAGCCAAAGTTTAATTACAGGATCTTTTATTTTTCTTTTTGCCTTTTAACATTGTTTGCTCTTCCAGCTGGCTTTGATGTCATAATTCTCTTACTCCCCAGATGACCCTTTCTCTGTCACTCCCAGCACTGTCATGACCTTTGTAAGTGGGACCCCCTTGGGGCCACAACAGACGTTAGACACCTGCAGTCATGACCAGCCTACAAGGCCAGGGAGAAATGGCCTCACTGACCAGCGGGACCCACCAGGAAAGATAAGCAGTGGGAACAAGCATGGGCTTGGAGCCAGATTGGCATGAGCTTGCGTCTTAGCCTGTCCACTTCCCAGCTGTGTGATCCTGGGCGAGTCACTTAACCTCTCTGGGCCTCAGCTTCCTTGGCTTTTAAATGGAGATAATAATAGTACCCACCTCATAAGGTCGATGAGAGGGTTAAATGAGTTGATACTTGAAAAGCCCCAAGAACAAAACCTAGCACATAGTGAGTGCTCCTTGAAGATTAGTCAGCACTCCTAGCTGATGAGCTGAAACTTGCCTCATCACATTTATTCCTCCCACAAGCCCAGTGAGGAAGCCTCTCCTCTCAC